CAAAAATTGCATCGAGCTCGGCACTTTCTTACTCTGGATTCTATTCTATATCTCTATAAATCTCAAATCCGACCTTGTATGGAATACTGTTGCCATATCTGGGGCGGATCTTCTAATGATGCCCTTTCTCTTTTAGACAAGGTGCAAAAATGCATTGTAAACATAGTTGAACCTGCTCTTGCAGCCAACCTTCAACCATTATCACATCGCCGTAATGTTGCTTCTCTTCCTCTTTTCTACAAATGCTATAATGGGCACTGCTCTAAAGAGCTAATATCTCTTGTGCTATCTACTAAAATTTACTCTTGTGTTACTCGTCATTCAATTAAGTCTCATCCTTTTTTTGTTACTGTTCCTAAGTGCTCCAAAAATTCTTATTTGTCTAGTTTTGCCTTGAACATCACTTTAGAATTCGCTTCCTTCATCTTGCTTTCCTGATTCATATAATTTGCAATCTTTTAAGTCGTCTGTCAATCTTTATCTTCCTCTATAATCTACATCTTTTCTCTTCCAGTAACTCCCAACACTAATTAGTGGTTGCTTGCAGCCTTGTTAGAAGCGAAGATGTTTAAACAAAAAAAATCTTGAGTTATGACATAAAATCTTATTGTAAAACCATATTATTATTATTATTTTTATTATTATTAGATAATGATTTAGACTTTAATATTTTAATTCATTTTATAAATCATCAGATAAAACTAGAAAAATAAAGCACAATAAAGTACAATATAATTATTAGAAAACAACTGATGATCACAAGAGTTTAAAGGAATTTAGCAGTAATTAAATATTTATATAAAAGACATCCTTAAATAAGATATAAATTACATTTAAATGTTATTTAAATCTTATTAAATTTTTTCTAAAATTAATATTAATTAAATGCTCGTAATATTAAAATTAAAGAAAAAAAGACAGAAGTTTAAAAATATGTAATAACTAAATAAAACTTTTTATAGTTATTTTAAAACAAAACAAAACTCTAATAACTTATTTTAAAATTAATCTTTTTTTATTATATTTTATCATCAATTAATTAATTTCTAATTTAAAACATTTAAATTTTTAAATAATTCCCTAAACAAAAATCAATGTTAATGTTTTATACAATGTGTAAATAGCTTTAACATAATTTTTTATTGGTTGATCTTTAAATAATCAAGCAAATTTTTCAGACCTTTAGTAATAATGTTTTTTTTTCTTAAACTGAGAATTTAATGACCAGAAATATTTCCAGATATTGCAATTCACAATCACTTAATTTATGCCTTGCGATATTTACCATCAGAATTGTCACGTCTACAGACATAACTGTTGAATTGAATGAGTTCAGATATTATCAGTGCAGGTTGCTGAAATCAGGCTGAGATATAATATTTGGACATATTAATAGCACTAAAGTTAAGAGCCTGGAATAGAAGTAGAATAGAGTTTTTTTTTAGCATTCTTTACAAAATAATACCTCAAAAGATGATTCCATTAAAAACATGTCACTGTACTTTTTTCGCTGCATGAACAAATCCCACATATACATTTTGATTGCTTTTATTTGCCTAAAGTCTGGTAACATTAATTTCGGGATGATTATTATCAACTAATTGTTTATTATTTGTATGCGCTTAACTAAACATGTTAATTATTTTGACTGTTTTACCTTCTAGTGTAATTTAGTATCATAATTTTTTTTATATAAATTAAATTAATTTATAAAGCCTATTTAAATGTCTGTCCAATCCTAAACCTTCAATCGATATATGTATACTCCATTGCAACTATGAGAACCTTCTAGATTTGGTGACTTCTGTGCTACTGGAGACTTTAGATATTGCAGTTTTATCATTTCTACATAAGTGTAGTACTTTAACTTTTATACTCACATACATGAAAATTTCTTCATGCAGAAATGTCCAGTTTTGGTGCTGCAATGACTAATATTTTTCTTAAGAGAATTATGCAAATTGTTAATAATTTTCCAAAGAGAATTGTTGTAATCACTACAGCATGGAAGTTATTCAGATATACAGAAAAATGTTTTTTTTTAATACAGTTATTGTGAAATCCTAAATGGTAATATCCAGTGTTGGAGTCAAATACATTTTATCAAATATCTAGAATTCCAAATACAAATTCAAATATGAATATATGTAATCTGATTTTCCAAATACAAATATAACTATTTGTATTTTAGGATAAAAATTATATATTTATTTTTAAATTTTTAGGCGATCAGGAAGCAAAGTTTTCCTAGCTAAACTGATCAATCTTTTAACAGGAGCTGAAGATGCTGGTGTGGAAAAGACAGCACAAGCAATATGTGCCAGCTCTACAAAGTCTTTATAGTTTAGTTGCCAGTATTCAAGCGGATCGGCAGAGTCTTACAAACAAGGTTGCACTAAATATTTATCTATTTGGTGCTTTGCTGATTGTTGGTTTAAGAGTTGATTAGAGTTACAAAAGCACATTCATCCATGAAGGCAAAGAGCTTGAACCTTTTTCTTGGTTTTGGTTGACTAAAAGAAGTATCTATATGTATAGAATTTTTTTCTGATGATAGTTCAGTAATTTTGTCAATCAGGAATTGGCGAATGTTAACCATCTCACTTTGAGAACATTATATCAGCTTGAAGTGTCAAATCTGTTGCTATTTCAAATTGAGCTAACATTTCTGACAGCTCCATGAGGAGGTACTGACTGATATTAAATTTTGAATTAAGTTTAATTAATATCTCAGTTTCAACATTAAGGAGTGACCTGCTCATCATAAGCTGGCTATTCCAGCAAATTGCATGGGCCATTTATCTTATCTTCCAACAAATCTGATAACTAGAATAAATGATAATAAACTAGAATGATGAACATAAGACACCAACTTTGACTTTTTTGGCTATAACATTGTTCAAATAATAACATGGTTTATTTGGATATATATATAGCATATTATTACCTAATACAAATATGTATTTGACCCCTGGTAATATCACAGTTATCACTTACCCCAACCATTTAAATGTTTGTTTAAATTATATCCTTTTTTCCAACAAATTTTATGCTAGTACCACATTACAAGTGTTACTAGCAGAAAATATATATATATATATATATACACATACATACATATATATATATATATATATATATATATATATATATATATATATATATATATATATATATATATATATATATATATATATATATATATATATATATACACATACATACATATATATATATATATATATATATATATATATATATATATATATATATATATATATATATATATATACACACACATACATACATATATATATATATATATATATATATATATATATATATATATATATATATATATATATATATATATATATATATATATATATATATATATATATATATATGCTCATCATAAGCTGGCTATTCCAGCAAATTGCATGGGCCATTTATCTTATCTTCCCTATATATATATATATATATATATATATATATATATATATATATATATATATATATATATATATAGGGTTTGACAAATCAACAAATGTACGAAACTATATTTGCTCTAAAATTTGAAAAATAAACAGAAGTTTTGTTAATTTTTTTAAAACTATTTTATTTAGAATTAATAAGATATTTATTTTTCTGTTTTTAATTTATTTGTTTTGTTTACAATTTGAATAAAAGGTGTTCATATTGGAACACCTGTCGGGTACAAGTGCCTACAAACAGTTTGGGTCATTCAAAATACAGTAAAAATATGAAGGGGTCATTTATTAGTACAATACCTCAGTTTTTTAAAGCATATCAGTAAAGATATCTCTAAAAAATTGACTAAAATAAAAATAAAATGTTGAAATACTAAATAGCTATTATTTAAACATTAAACAATCATAACGTTTTAATTTCTGGACTTAAATTTTACCATGATCAAAGTAATTTTCAGTGAGATTAAGGTTGGGTAAAATTCCAAGACAAAGGGCCATAATCTCCATTTTTATGTAATAACTGCTCGGGATCTTTAGAACTAGGGCTCAATCATTTTAAAATTTGTGGGTATTGGTTATATTCATGAAAGTTGTTGCAGGTGTTCAAGATAAGTTGATAGGCATTTAGCATTAGCACTTCTTGATAAAGGCCTTGGGAGTAAATACTAATAATGCATGCATATATTACTTATACATAATCATACCACAAAATTTTCTGCTATAATCATACCACTAAATTTAAAAAATGTTTTGACTGTTATTTGTGGCTGTATATATATATGTGTGTGTGTGTGTATGTGTGTATGTGTGTATATATGTATATATATATACATATATATATATATATATATATGTATATACATATACATACACATACACATATATATATATATATATATATATATATATATATATATATATATATATATATATATATATATATATATATATATATATATATATATATATATATATATATTCAGTGTCATTTTTGTATTTTAGAATGTTAAATGATTTTATATGGTTGGCATCTAATTTTGAATGTTATTTTGCTTATACCGATGTAGAATTTGTTGACAGGAGTGTTAGTAGGAATTTTTCTGTTGTTCATAATTTGTTGGTTGTGTGCATTTTAAATCGATTTCATATTCGGCATACAGCTATAACTTATTTTTATCGTGTTTCTGTTGAAAATTTTGTGAAGTTAGTGATTTATTGGGAAGTGTTTGTTGTCTGAGGTTAAAAAGCTTTTTCCTACATTAGTGTGAACATTTTTGATGAAAGGAAGGTTATACCAAATGATGTTGCGTTTATGGTTTTTGGTGTGAGGTAAATTTAAATTAGGTATATATATATATATATATATATATATATATATATATATATATATATATATATATATATATATATATATATATATATATATATACTATATATATATATATATATATATATATATATATATATATATATATATATATATATATAAAATTGTATATATATTTATAGGAAATTGTATTCCCAGAAGATTATAATACTAACAAACGAGGCAATTCTTCAACTTCAGAGTCAGTTTCAAAAAAAGTAAAATGCGACGAAACATCTGAAGTCGATATTGAGGCAGTTGCAAGAAACGGTTTACTAAATAAATTAACTGTTTCTCAAATGAAAATATTTTGTCAAAAAAATAAAATAAAAAGTTCATCTTTTAAGAAAGCTGATTTTGTTTCAGCTATCAATTCTTTTTATAAAATTTAGTTAATTGTTATTTCAGCAAATACAGAAAAATGTTATAATCATATTTCTATAATAAAGAATGTAAATTTTTTTTTTTGTTTTTAATTTTTTTTTATTTTTGGTGGACGAGGTAAATTTCTAAGCATGAAAAAAAAGCATTTATTTATGAGCAAATTTAAATTTGATTAAGTTTATAGCAGCGTCTAATCGAAAGGGTTTGATTGACTTCAAATTTATAGGTTACAGGTTTTAGTTATTATCATTATATAAATGATAATTTCTTGCGAATAGTGGCGAAACCCTGAATATTATGGCATTTAGTTAGCGTTTGAGCTTTGAGTTTTGTGAGAGTTTTTAAAAATATTAATTTTTAGCGTTGGTTGTAATTTATCATAGGAATTCACTCGGTTTTCAATTCCTGCAATAATTGGGGAAAAGAAATTATACACTGTTATTTCAAATATTTATTTTAATAACATCAGAAAGAGAGTCAGTGATTCCATTGTTGCAGATAACATTGTTGCCTTTATAAAAAGACAGAAAAAAATTAAGATTATTTGTTTTACATTTTAAATCAGCTTGTGTATAATTTTTTTTATACTTTTAAAGGTTATTTTTGAGAATTTGTGTATTTCTATTTCTTGTACAGTCCTTGAATATCCCAAAATCTCTACTGACAAATCTAAACCATGTCTTTCTAAAATCATTTTATTAATATGCAATTATGAAGGTTAAAAATGTGTTGTTTTCTATAAACACATCATTACTATTTTTATTATTAAAAAGAAGCCTCGATTAAGTATACAAAATTTAGTGAAATTTAGGATAAGGCCAACTCAAAAATTTTATCCAGCGTCAGATTTACTTACTTAAAATTTATAGCGCAATAATTAAAATATTTTTGAGAAAGTTTGTCCATCCGACAAAATATTCGTTTTTTTTAACTGGCCTTCTATTTTTTTTTTTCAATTTAAGCAGAATAGAAGGCCGTGTATTTAAGTAGGCCATGCAAAACCTTATTTTAGCATTTTTACAACTAGAGATATTTATTATTATTAAAACTACAACATGGCTAAAAAAAAACATCTAAAAGATTGTTCTTTAAAACTTCAGGTTAACAACACCAATGTCATTTTGAAGCTGATTGATGATACTATTGGATCACTTCGCAACAGCAAATAATGATAATGGTTTTCAATCGCATTTTTTGTCGAAACTTTACAAGTATGGTTTAGTCTTGCATATTGAATGTATTTATTATGTGCTTTCTCAACCTCTTCTGAATATATACCTATTGGGAGTTCAAAGCAATCAGAAATTTGATAACCATGGTCTAACACCTTGTGCGCAGTTGGTAACTTTATGAGCCACTTATGTTTTTCAATTATTATTTCAGAAGTAGCTAAAAATATTTTTTGAAGGGCCCCAAATCAAGTTGATATCCACTGCACACAGCTTTCTTTATATTCCTCAATCTAACAATGTTAAAATCGAATCCTATAGTATCTGTAAAAGTATCAGCATTCTCAAAGGCTCTTCTGGCTGTGTTACCTGTGTTTGAGGAACCATAGCCATGCTTTGATATATTGACAACAAGGCTGAGCTCACTTTTAAACCAATTCTGAATTTCTTTTTTTGCTCAATAACAGAAAGCATATGTTTTTCTAATCTTACCTGATATTTCTTAATTTTCATTTTATATCTCTAGTGAAGAACATTTAACGATTTTCCATCAATCATAGTTAAGTCAATTTCAATTTCTTACTCTGCAATGAGTTCTTTTGTTATCCCCAATTCTTAAGTCAAAGAGAAACTATTGCAGTTTGATATGCAGGTTGTCAATTTCTGCATTCAAGCAGTAATATAGATCCATAGATATATAAATTACTGGATACGGCATAAGCAGAAAAAATTAAAGCCGGGAAAACTTTACCTTGATGTCGTAGAGTGAGGCAGAAATATATAATTTAATCAGCGTATATATTGAACAATGTTTATAACTTAGTTTCAAGTTATATTTCGTATAGCATAAAACAATATCTTCGAAGAAATTTGGAATTCATTTATGTTTATATATATTTTATTTACAGATGAACTAAATAAAATAAATCTTAGTTGACTTCATATTATAAGATTTTTAAATACTGCAATGCAAATAATATTTTTATTAAAATAATATGCCATGAATTACCTAAATAACTTGTATATGGTTGTATAATGCAAGATTCATATGGAGCTTTAAGAAACCAACATTGAATATAAAACTATACATCTATATTTATTTATAATATATTTATCTACAATATATATATATATATATAATATATATATATATATATATATATATATATATATATATATATATATATATATATATATATATATATATATATATATATATATATATATATATATATAGAAAATTTAAACGCACTTGGTTTTTTAAAAGTTTAGGTATGTTTAAAGTGATACAAAGAGAAAACACGAGGCAGGGTCCAGGTTTTTTTTTTTTTTAATATTCTTAGCCAATTAATTAAGAAAAAAACACAACTTTGAATAAGAAAAATACAAAATCTTTTCTGAAATTAAACAACAAACTCAAGTAATCAAAAGATAACTTAGAAGAAAGTGCAATAAAGTTTAAACGCACCTACAACTTCTTTTAATCGAAATATATTAATACGGAATATGACCCCTGTTGTATTCGCCTTGGCATTGATACGATTAAGTTTTCAATCATCTTGATTGGTATTTCAAGCCACAGTTTGGTCAGTTCTTGTTTGAGCATTTCGTGACTAGTTATTTGCTTTTTTGTTAGTTGATAATCCATCCAGCTCCATAAATTTTCAATCGGGTTTAAGTCTGGTGATCGTGCTGGCCAAGGCATAAGTTGAATATTACTTTTAAGGAAATAATCAGTGATTGAATGCGATGTATGGCATGGAGTATTGTCTTGTTGAAATAACCAGTTTTGATCAGCCTGGAACAGGTCGCGACTAGGGATAAGCGCGTTTTTCAAAATATCACGATACTTATAATGGTTTAATCTTCCTTCGTATATTTTATGACAGCCAACGCCTGAGCCTGATATACATCCCCATATGCCGACGGAACCACCGCCTTTTTGAATACGGCTAAATAGATGTTGTTTCAAATCTTTTTCTGTATTTTTGCGACGAACAAATCTCTTGTTTTTTCTGTTAATAATTTCGAAATTTGATTTATCACTAGAGATAATCATTTTCCATTGTTCTACTGAATAATTTAAACGCTCTTTGCACCATTTTTTTCGTCTTTGGCGATCGGTTAACGTCAACAAAGGCTTTCTTACGCAATGAAACGAATTTAATTCTTTCTTGCGTAATAACTTACTTATAGTCATTCGACTAACTGTTTTGTCTACCAGCGAACTATTGATTTCTGCACTTAAAGTTGATACTCCCGCTTTTGGGTTACGTCTGCTTAGCATGTAAAGCATGTTTTCATCGCGTGCTGTCAGTTTTTTCGGACGCCCAGTACGAGGTTTATCATTGATACTACCAGTTGATAAATAATTTTTTATTGTTGTACGAACGCTGAATTCAGAAATATTTAGGCGTCTGCTAATTTCTCTATTGCTTATTTTCATTTTATGCATTCCAATGACTTGCCATTTTGTTTTCGACGAAACAGCTTTTTTACCCATTAAAGCATGATATTTTGGCAAAGCTGTATCAGTTAAAGGGATCCCAAACTCCCAACACATGTTGTGTTCATATTAAAGATAATGTTAAAAAAAAAGGTTCGAAGCAAATTTTTTTGATTAAAAGTAAATAATGAATGCATACCGTGAAAAACAAATGTTGTTGTTTTTTCTTCTCCATTTTTTTCAACTACTCGGAGTCTTCAAATTATGCGTCGCAATCTACAGACTTTGGCAACTCCTTTGAAGCGCGTTTAATTCATAAAAGTTTTAGTATTTGACGTCACGGTAGACTTTTAACAAAAGAAAGCGTAATTAAACTAACGTTTTTCTACTGTAGTATTTTTTTAACATACAGCAAAACAAATTTATTTGTATTATTTTTCTAAACATCGCAAAAAAAATTTTGTAAAAAGTAAAAACAATAAATTATTTTTATTTTATAGGAGCAACTTATTTTTTACAGATATCTTAATAATTTTTAGATTTATATATATCTTACTTATATTTCTTTAATTATTTAAATTAAAATAAATATTAAAGCTTCACTTACCAATCTCATGATTTTCATACGAGTATTTTACATTATATAGAACGTTTTATATACGGTCTCTTGTTTTAGCGCAAGAGAGCGCAGTATTATATATTCTGATTCTTAATTATTTTTATTTAAACAATGGGAACTATTTTCTAATTTCTCTGGTTATTTTTACGCTATGACAATTTTTTGTTTTCCCGTTGAAAAAAAGTATTTATTAACAATTACTTTCATAAACTAACAGTATTAATTAGAGATATTTAATGAATTGTTAACTTTTTTTATTATAAAATTATCTTGATCACGCTGATTTAATTTAAATTGCTAAATTTGCTGAATTGGATACGGATAAAAAGGAAATACCATTTTATTTTACATTTGATTTTTGATAATGAAATTTTTAAAATGTCAGCAACTCCATACCAATTAGAACCTGTTAAGATAATGAAAAAAAATACAAGAATACACTAAACAATAGTTAAGTGTATTCTTGTACTTTTTTTTTTTTAACACTTGACAGTAGTATCAGATATGAAAATTCGTGAATGGATATGTGAGATCCTGATTTTGCATTAAAAGTACAATTAATTGCAACACAAGTCGGCATTATAAATTTTGATTATGAGTTTACTGTTCAATATTTTATAACCATCAAATAAAAAACATGAAGTTTGTATATTTTTGCCCGTTTAATACAACTAATATTTAACCAAAATACGGACAATTATTATTAAATAACGCAATAATTAACACATTAATTAAAGGCAATAATTCAAGATGGTAATTTAAATTGTTAAAATGTCATAACGCGCATTAAAAAACATATTATATTTGGTATTTCCAAATTTGTGTCGTAATTGGCATTTGTCT